GGCCGAGTATTTTTCTCGGTAGGAGGAGTTCCGGAGGTGCTCCTTTTGCTAGAGGGATCTCTAGGTCCTGGTAGGATTTAGGAGCGTGTTCGTCCTACTATCTTTAGAATAGTTCTCGCACAGTCTATCTTACGAGCGCTCTGGATTTTGCGATTATTAATAGGATATTTGGCGGGGCTAGAGCTGCGGCGCCCTGTTTCGCGAGGAGGTCTACTTCCTCGTTGCCTGGAATCTCTTAGTGCCCGGGTACCTAGCGTACTACTATCTCTCCTGGGTGTATATGAAGGGCGCGTCTCCTTTATCTTTATAACGTCGTAAGTTGCCGGATCCTAAGGATGCTTCCTTGGCTGGAGTCTATCGGTTTACCCTTTAGCGCTCTCTATGCTACCTCCTAATTATCGAGAAGCACAAAGATATTGGTCGCTAAACGCGTGTTGGTAGAACGGGCCGCAGCCCGTATCGCTGCTTCTATTGCGATAACTTCTGCGTCGTATACTTCTACAGCGGTACCTAGGCTTTAGCACCCTTCGAAGATCTTATAGCCCCCTAATAACCTATATACCCTAGTCCTGTCCTGTCTATGGAATCCTGGGATCCGTTAGTATAGAGGACAATGCTGGCTGAGGGGATGGCTTACCTAGAGGATAAGAAGTGTAAGAGAATTGAGAGATAAGTTACGCGAAGGATCGGGCGTAGGCGTGTTACCATTAATCTTATGATACGATTGATACTTTGAGTTGACCATGAAGGTCCTATCTACTGCTAGAGAGCGTGGTCTATATATATGTAGGAAAATCTAGCAATCTGGTGTTGCTGTCCGTCGCCCAGCCTCGTGAGGGCGATAGTTACCTGGTTTAGCCCGAGCTACGGAGGGCGACGTGTGGGGCGTACGTGATCTGTGCTACTTTTCTGACAACTGGCTTCCTGCAACCCGACAACTATCTTCTCTTTCTTAGAGCGGATGCGATAAGTCTATTACTCTTGCCCTGCTCTGCTGGCCCTGCCTTCCTCGCCGTACTGCGGGATTTCTATTGAAAATGGAATCGAGTCTGATCGAGTCTGATTGAGAAGGTATAGCTACCTAGGAGCTATTTATGCCTGCAGGGTGGGTACCCTGGTTGCTATATGGAATCTGCTAGAATATAGTACTATGTTGTCTATAATGCGCACTCTAATAATTTCTGTAGGCGACATTTGCCCTTGTGGTCCTAAATCGCCTGCGGGCTCCCTGGCTGACTTAGCTTCTAGTTGTTGTCCGAGTCCCGGCGGGTTGAGTTCCCGTGCGGGCCTTGATTGCACGCGTTAGCCTGTCCGTGCGGCGGCTAATGCCTTGTGGACTTTGGATCCGTGTGGCCGTTAGGTCCTTAGGGTCTCTAGACCCGTGTAGGCCTTCTTCCTATAAGGTCTTCTTGACCCTGCGGGTTGCTTTCCCTTGCGGCCCATAATAGTTTAGAATAAGCTCTACTCTATAATAGAAAGTGTCAGCCAGGATCACTCCGATAACACGTATTTTCAGCCTTACTATTTAGTTGTTATACAACAGCCTTACCCCTGCACCACTCATTTACCCACTGCAAGGAAATAAGGACCTTAAAGAGAAAACATGTTCTTTTAAATAGCAGCATATATACCTCTATGGGTAGCAATAATCTAGAAGGAACAGCGGCGTCTAATTCCTCGCGCCAGCTTCACAGAAAGAAAAGGCTTTAAGTGAGCTAAAACTACGCACTTTCTCGATCTAAACCGTCGAAAACCTACTAATTTTCCTCGTTCTTATGGTCCCTAACTCCTTTAGATGAACCCGCCTCCACTCCTCCTTACGTATTTAGCGAACTAACGTTAGCTACCTTCGGCTTCTTGGCTACGATTTCCCTATTATCTCTACTAATTTCTACCTGGGATGATATAAAAGAAGCGAGTAAAGCCTCCTCCTCCTCCTATATCAACACGTTTAATTGGACGATAAAGCAGAGACTTAAACCTCTCTTGTACGAGAGAGAGATACAGTCTGCTCTTTACCAATTAAAAATAGGACACGGATACTTTAAGTCCTATTTATATAGATTTTCTCACTCCGAGACAGATCTCTGCACGTGTGGACCCGCCAAACAAACCCCTAGACATCTCCTCCTAAGGTGTCCTCTCTATAACTCTCCTAGGAGAGCTCTAAAGGACACCCTCGAGACAAATAACCCTAGTTTTCAAGAGGTACTTACCGGACCAGGAATCCTAGCTACGCTAGAATTCCTTAAAAAAACGAGGATAGCTACGCGGAAATAGCGCCTTAACGACCTTCCCGAGGGGGAGTAAAACACCTACAATTCCGATCCACTCCTTACTATTTTATCTTCTCTAAAAACCCTTTTCTTTCCTTCGTTTTTATCACCTCGGCCTAGATCCAACCATCCCTCGCACTACCTCGCTTTTATCTTGTATTTAAACCCCCTAGCCAGTCCTAAATGGACCGTCCGTTATAGTTTCCAACTGCATATAGACGTAAAACGAATTAATCAATCATCAATCAATCTACCTAGGATGAGGAACGCTTAGCGGCTTTCTCGATTACTACTACCCGGCCTATCTTCTCTACTAAGTTCCCGGCTATATTCTGAAGTATCTAAACGATCTTCTCGTGGCCCTCGGAAGAAGCAGCCTGGAGAGCGTTGCCGTACTCGCCGCCCTGCGCGTTAACGTCGGCACCCTTGTCGAGTAGCATCTGAACGATCTTTTCGTAGCCCTTAGAAGAAGTAGTGTAGAGAGTATTGCCGTATCGGCCGCCCTGCGCGTTGACGTCGGTACTTTTGTTAAGTAACGTCTATACTGCACATTCTATGCCTTCTCGTGATGTATAGTATAGAATAGGTGTAGTTTGTACTCGATCATTAGGCTCCGGCCAGCTACGCTCTAGGTCGTACATTTTATAGCATGTTGTATAAGAGTTTTTGTATAAAACAAACTCTGAAACAAGAGTGCGGACTGTATCGCTTTTTCCTTCGGATACGACGGTATGACTCGTCCAATATCGCGCAGAATACTGTGCCAGCGGGAAGGATTTCATTATCTGTTTTGTTAAAAGGGTTGACTTTAAGTTTAATATATATGCTAGGCATACTTCCGCGATTGAACCTCTAGCGGCTGTTTCTTTAAAGTCCTTAGCAGTATCTTTTTCGAGCCGTTCTGATGTCAGATACTCTTTGACTGAGAAGTGTGTAAGCTGTAGCTTAGTCACTTGTTAATCTTTAATCACGCTCTGCGTCCTCTTTATAAGAGTTACAAAACTAGAGTAGTAAACTGCAACCTCCTCGGGATTTGGGATACTGTTCTTAGGATCAAACCGCGGACTTTCTCTAGGTGTTACTGCGATTGCATCGACAAGCTTCTTAATCCTCATTGGCCGTTCTGAATAAGCTAGGAATTGTAGAATTCTTATAGCCTTGGCTTTCCTTTGAGGAGGGATGTTAGCCATGATCCTGTCGTACGTCTCGTCTAGTGTCTGTGGCAGTGATTCGAGCGCATATTTCAGCGCCTCGTAATCAATGCAATCTTCTAGACTTTGGAGCTTCAGTGCGGCCCATCTGAACCTATATTATTTTAGTATTCGCCCACTAAAAGGTAAGGAGGAGGGAATAGTATATTCCATTTGCTTTCTTTCTAAGAGTAGTCTCAATTTCTTCTTGAACATCTAGTCGTGAATGTTATCTGTTTAAGCGTTCTCCCTCTTTAACTTTGGCGTGGATGTATGTATGTATATCATCCGCTACCGAATCACCTCCTATCGGGATAGTATCATAATCATAAGCCTATTTTCTTAAAGCCGAGTTGATCTCCTTTTCAGGTCGACTCGTTACAAGAAGATAGACGTTCGTCTACTGCAAACCTTTCAGAAGCTTTTGTATCCACGGCAGTAGCTCTTTGGTTTAAGATCCCTTCTAGTATTCGTCTAGGGCATCGAGGACGATCCAGACTTCATCAGCTTACTAAACCATGTTTTAGAAAGTCGTATAGAGCGAATCGGGGCTTAGCTGCCGGCGTCCGTTCTCGTAAGTAGAATATAGTAAATCTAGAGACCTTTGGGCGTTTTTATTTTTATAGTATAGCTGGTGGATAAGCGAGCAAATTGCGTTTTCCCACGACTGTTTGCCAGTATCGGTGAAATCGAAGTAGAAATACAGCAAGCTCTAGGAATAAGCCTCGCTTTTGCTTAGGTTCTTAATGATAGCGGAACTTAGGATTGTCTTCCCGCACCCAGGGATACCGTAGAGCCAGAGGAACGAGTTTGGTTGTGTTTTCCAGTTCGTGAAAGCTTTGCCGTCAAGGAACTAGAGACCTGACCTAGCGTGTCGTTGCTTCAAAGCTCTATTGTAGTTGGTTGAGGGCTCGGGAGCCGAAAGCCACTGATTAATCTCTTGTTGTTGACGATCTAGCTTTAGCTTATCGATGCTGCTTTTGTTCTCTTTCGTGATTGACTGTATACTGTCCACAATCACTACAACTTTAGAAAAGTAAATAACAGATCCCTTGACAGGTAGAAGTTGGACTAATGTTGAAGTGTACGCAGTTTATATTGCTTTTTATGTGGCTTAGTCATTTAGCATAGGGTATAAGAGGACTCCGCCTACCGGGCTCCTAACAAGATCATGCCACTCATTGCTATCAATTGAAACCCCATTCATTGCAACAACTAACTATCTTTGATCACATCCACAGCCTTTGGCATCGCCTCCAGTTGCCCTGCTGGGACATATCCAAGCAATTCTTTTGCGAATGCAGCTGCTGTTGCAGCGGCGTATGGCTGCCATCGATCGTTTTTATGCGAGTCCGCATAGTCGCTTATTCCCCTGATAACAAGGCAGGGGAAGTTGTTCATTAGACCAGCGGCTTCTATCTTATAGCAGATGCATCCACCTGGAATATGCCGAATGAGCTCTGTTCTAGCAGTAGCACCCTTCACGAGTGTGTTCCCGGAAGCTATAGTGCCGTAGTGAACCTTGGGGTTCTCGGGGACGGGTCGTGGGTCGCGTTTTAGGATCTTCTTTAGATCGCAATCACTGCAATCCTTGCCATAGGTGTGTTCGTACGATGGATCGAATAACTTATCGTTTTCGAAACCCTGATAGTTGTACCCGGGCTCGCCGGGCTGAGATGTGAACATTTCAGGATTTCGCGTCTCTATCTCCCTTAGAATCGCTGGCACTCTGAATTTCTTGCGCCTATGCTTTGCCTGAATATTCGATAGTGCTGAAAGCAGAACCTTAGGCGGCTTATTAAGGAAGTCTTTTCGTTCGACCTCCTCTCCCTTCTTCACTTTTTGAAGGTCATACTGGACGACACCACCACTGCTTCCAGTCGGCTGACTGACAGCAACGTCGCCGAGGCGGATATCGGCACCCAGCTCGGGGATACCACCGCCGATTCCGACCAGTAGACCGAACCTGACTTGTACTTGGGTGCTTGAGAGAAGAAAATAAAACATTACATAAGATAAAAAAAAAGGATAAAATAATGGGATAAAATGATGGGATAAAATGATGGGTTGACGAAAGATGGAAACGGGCTTCTTTGTGTGTGTGGGTGATGGGAGTGAAAAGAGAGGGAAGAAGGCGTACCCGCGCCATGGCGTCCTGGTTCCCCGCCAAACCCCCCAGCACGCCCGTCAAGCTGATGCTCGTCGTGTCGCTGCCGGCCGCGACGTTCGCGTTAATAGTATTAATGACGTCGTCCCACGTGAAGCGCGCCGGGTCCGCATCATGCAGCGCCAGGATCTTGGCCAGGAAGTCTTCCTTTTCCTCCCCATCCACCTCCCCTCCCTCCTCTTCCTTTTCCTGAACCTCCGACCCCGACTTCGACGCCGTCTTCGCCGCCGCCTTCGCAGCCATCTCCCCCCTTCTCACCCGAATCTGCTCCTCGCTAAAGTCGGTGATCAGAAACCTGCCGTGCGAGAAGAAGCGCTTCAGGAGGCGCAGCAGCGGCGCGTGCAGCCCGGCGTAGACGCCCACGGGGCCGGCGTACTCGAACAGGCCGCGGGTAACCGCGATCAGGTTCAGCGGGTCTTTGCCGGCGTCGAGCATGCCGAAGCGCTTATTTAGCTGTAGGGATATTAGTTGGGGGGGGGGATTATGCGGGCCATGTGTGGTGCTGGGTGCTGGGTGCAGCGTACATACCGTGATCAGCCCGATCGTGTCAAAGGCATAGCACTGCATCCAGTGCTGCAGATCAACCGGCTCCTGGCTGCTACACCACCACCAACGCACACGACACATCAGCCAACGCCCTCCGAAGCCCGTCTCGCTCCCACCCAAAACAAACACAATGCCAGAAAAACTCACCCCGCCATCTCCCCCAACCGCGCCTCCATCACCGCGACCGTCGCATCCACCGCCCCCTCCATCCGCACCAGCATACTCATAGCATACAGCCCAGCAACCTTCCTCCTATTCGCCGCATGCACACCAACATCCCTACCGGAGAAGATATCCTCCACGCACGCATCCGGGTCACCACTAGCGACATACCAGCTGCCCTTAACAAACCTCGTGCCATGCCCATACACGGCACGCACAGCGCCCGGGTCGTCGAGGCTGAACCAGCGCGGCGCGACGCGCACGACCGGCCCGTGCCGCGCGTGCAGCGCGATGTTCGTGCCGTGGAAATCCGCGCGCTGGATTTGGCAAAGGTACCAGAGCTTGGTGAGGCGCGCGAGGGGCGGGCCGGGGATGCGGACGTGCGGGGATGTGAGGGCGCGTAGGAGCGCGTGCAGGAGCGTGAGGCTGAGGAGCGTTGTCAGGGCGTAGAGGAGCGCTTGTGCCGTGCTGGTGGCGTCGGAGGGGAGCAGGCTGAGGAGCGCCATTGTTTGTGCGTCTGCGTGTGCGATAGACGGTGGATGTTGGTGGTTTGAAATGATGTGATAGACGAATCCAGGTCCCGTGTGTGTATGTACCTATGCACGGCGTGAGTCCAGTCGACTTAATAAAAACGAAAGGGTAACACGCCTCTCCACCACCTCCACCCACCCAGCCTTATATACCAACCTACCTACCCACCAACCTACCACGCACCCACGTCCCTCTTCCCCCGAGCCGAACCCATCAAGCCTGAAACCACCTCACGCACAACCCCGTCCCCTCACCCGGCAGCGCGCTCTCTACCACGCACGCCCTACCCACGGCAATGACGTCCGGCACGCACACGCAGTGAACGCACAGTAGGTATAGCTCGGCCCCGAGCCGACGCCCGTACTCCGCGCCGCGAGGGCAACGATCAGCAGTGCGGCACCAGACAGCGGCCGCCGGAGCAACGAGACGGCGTGCGTGCCATTGGCCGCCGTCCTTCCCTGCCCGCTGTAACGCGCGCCTCCGCCTCCGCCTCCGCAGTAAGTGCTAGCGGGGAGGGGATCGACGGCCAGGGCCCCGAGTGGGTGCGTAAGCTCCTGGGGCGCGTTTTGCTCTACGAAAAGAGGCCGTTGGGAACGCTTTTTGCGTCGTCCGTTTGTCTTGTCGCTTCCCTCCCGGCCTGGCGTACTGGCGTCTCCATGCTTCCACTGTCCTCCCGTTCTTTCGCTGTCCTTTGGAATACGACACAGTGGCGCAGACCTCGGCTGCCCACACACCCTCACACCCCGCGCCGCTCCCACCGCGGATACCTGACCCTGCTGCCCCGCCACACATTGACGCTGTCGACAGGAAACCTCCTCTTCTCGCGCTCCGCCCTGCCCTCATAGCGGACATCGAGCCTCACCGACCCGCCTCCGCCCTCCGCCAGCTTCTCCAGCTCCTCCAGCACCGCCATCTGCGGCACGCCCTTCCTCCTCGTCGACTCCTCAGCGCACAAGACCGCCACTTCCCGCAGCGCCGAGAACCCCAGCCCGTTCTCCGCCTTGCCAACCAGCAGCGTCACGTCGGGCACGCAGCGCATGTCGCAGTAGCGTAGCTCGAGTGCTCGTAGTGACTGTGGTAGTAGATCCGGTAGCGGCGGCATGTCCGGGACGGCGCGCACCTCGCTGGGCGCGGCGACGCGGCCGCGCCCGAGCCCGAAGCCCGTGTACGGCGCGTGCAGCAGGCCCAGCAGCGTCTGCTGGCCGCAGCGCAGCGTCGCGAGGCGCGCAAAGCCCGTCAGGGCGCCGAGGTACAGGCGCTCGGGCGCGGCGTGCTGCCAGAGGCCCTTCTGCGCGTCCTCGTTGAGGTCGAGCGCCAGGTGCTCCAGCGTGCCGCCGTGCCACTGCAGCAGCGCCTCGGCCGCGTCGCGCGGCAGGAAGTTGTCGCCCGGGACCAGCGAGTCGTACGTGTAGGCGAAAGACTTGAGCGCGCCGCACGCGCGCACCAGCTCCCCCAGCTTCGACGCCCGCATCTGCGCCCCGTGGAACCGCAGCGTCGTGATGCTCGACATGCGCGGCTGCAGCAGCCCGCGCGGCAGCTGCACGCAGTTGGGCCGCACCCACTCGAGCGTCGTGACGCGCGGCAGGGCGAAGAAGACGTCGCAGTACGAGAAGTCGAGCCAGCCGTGCTTGGGGTCGTCCGAGTCGGCCGAGAGGTACTCGAGCCGCTGCAGCGGGCGCGTGGTGTCGTTTGCATTGGCCGCGGCGCGGAGCACGGCGACGGTCAGCTTCGGCTTCTCCCACACGTCTTCGAGGCTGAGCTCGCGCAGGTTCGGCAGCATGGCCAGCAGCAGCGCGACTTCGGCGTCCTGGTGGCAAGGCTCCTTCTCGGCGAGCCGGTTGGTCCATTGGGCTTTCAGGTCGGCATCGGCCCACTCGAGGCGCGCGACGGCATCGTGGTAGAGGGGCAGAGCGTGGTCGGGAACAGGCGCGTCGTCGGCGCTCGCAGTGGCCCATGATTCGATTGCAACGGCCTTGACATGGCGGGCGAGGTCGGGGCGGTGCAGAATTGTGCAGAAGAAGGGGCGGATGCGGCGGCTGAATCGACGGTCGTGCAGCGCGTACTCGGCCGTGACGAACGTGTGGTAGAGGAAGCGCTGCGTCACCTCTTCAAACGGGCGGCACACAAGCGACACCTGGGCGAGGTGGGCGGGGAGCGGAATGAAGGAGATAATGTGAGCGACGAGCTCGACGGGGAGGTCGGCGAAGGACGTCATGATCCGTAGAGATGGATTGGAAGATGGCACGATGGACGATGGAAGTCGACGTCTGACGGTCTGACGTCTCGAATGATCGATGACGCTAGTAAGTAACGCGATTCCTACGCGATTCCTACGCGAGTCGCGTCCACATCTTCATGTCGACAGAAAAGACAGAGAGAAACTACATACCATAGGTACCTACATACCTACTGTCTACCCCTTCACCTTCCGCACCCCAAGCCCCGACACCAGCCCCACCCCCGCCAGCCCCACGCAGCACCACAGCCCCGTGCCATACTGCCTCGCCGGGCCAGCCTTGCCATCGACCGCCTGCACCACCGCGCTCGCCAGCGCCAGCCCAACCCCGCTGCCGATCTGAAACGCCGTGTTGACCATGCCGCCGCACAGGCTCTTCGCGTTCACCGGCACCGACTCGAGCAGGAACACCGTGATGGTGTTGTATGCCACCGTCGTGCCCGCCACGGCCAGCACGCTCGTCGGGAACACGTGCGGCCAGAAGCTGATGTCGCTGCCCGACCGCATCAGCGCCGCCGGCACCGGCGCAATCGTGCACAGCCCCATGCCGATGAGGTGCAGCGCGCGCAGGTCGACGCGCCCCAGCGTGTGCGCCATGATGATGCCCGTCGTGAAGCCCGTGGCCCCCATGGGGAGGAAGCGCAGCGCCGTTTGGCCCGCGCTGAGGTGGTTGACGTCCTGCGCCGCGAGCGTCGTGTAGTAGACAACCGTTTGGTAGGCAGCGTACATTGCTGCCGAGTGTATTAGCCGTTGCTTGCTGCTCTACGAGATGAAACCGAAAGAAAGAAAACACGCACCGAAGCCGCCAATCCACAACGCAGGAAAGTTGCGCAGCTTCCAGAGGCTGAGCGGCATGACGGGATTCGACACCTTGCTCTCGACCCAGGCGAAGCTGACCAGCAGCGCGACGCTGATAACGAGCAGCGCAATAATAAACGCCTTGCCCCAGCCGTAGACACCGCCGCTCGAGAGCACAAAGCTCAGCAGAATAAGGCCCGTGGTCGAGAGACCAGCACCCAACAGGTCGAGCTGCGGGCGGTGGCTGCCCTCGAGTCTATCCTTCGGGAGCACAAACCACCCAATGATGCCGACAATTGCCGTGATGGCGACAGCAATGTAGAAAATATAGCGCCAGCCCAGCGACGCGGTAAGGAAGCCACCGAAAATCAGGCCCAAGCAGAAACCGACAGCCCCAGAGGCACCGAAGATGGTCAGGGCGAGTGTACGATCCTTGGCGATGAAGTAGTTGCTGATGATGCCCACGGCCGACGGGATGGTCATGGCCGCCCCGATACCCTGGATCGCGCGGAAGATCGTGAGCTGTATAAAGCTCGAGGCGAGGCCGTTGGCTAAGCTCCAAACGCTTAGCATGCCCATGCCCACAGCGAAGATAAGCTTCCTCCCAAATCGATCAGCCAGCACGCCGCTCAGCAGCAAGAACCCACCGAACGTCAGCGTGTAGGCCGACAGCAGCCACTGCAGATCAATGCTCTCGACGTCGAGGTCGCGCTGGATCGCCGGCAGGGCAATGTTGACGCCCGTCATGAAGACGTTGTCCATAAGCTGCGCGCCGCAGGTGACGACGAGAATGAGCGCCCCACGCCACGACCTCAGCGTGCCCACGTCCGGGTAGTGCTGCGCAATGCCATGCTCCTGCTCGCGTTCCAACGACGCCTCCGCACCGGCTCCGGCAGCAGTATCTCCCCCAACCGGCGAGGGCGGCCGTGTGGACAAGGGCGTGGTAAACTCCGACGGCACCTCGCGGATGGCGTTGAAATTTCCGGGCTTCGCGGGCCTAGGGCGCTGGATGGCAGGCAGGTCGTGGACGTTGTCGTGCAGCTCGTGGGCGTTGTTGACGGCCTCGCGGTGGCCGCTGATGGCCGAGGCGCTGCGGGTCAGCGACGCGAGCTGCTCGAGCGGAATGTCGTCGCTGGCGTGCGAGGCGATGCTGCGGCGGCGCGGGGCCGAGATGCCAGGGAAGCCGGCGGGCGGCGCGAGGCTGGGAGCTTCTTCGAGGGCGGACGTGCGGCGCGTAAGGGCCTCGCCGCCGTCGTAGTCGTGCTGGACGGTGTCGACGGGCGAGCGGGGTCGTGAGGTGTGAGGCATGGCGGAGAAGAGCAGGACCAAGACACCCTTGGACGCTGCTAGCTGGCGGGGTGTGGGTGTGGATGTGGACAAAGGCGGGGAGATGGAGTGCCAGCAGCCATTTTGTTTCCACTGTTGCGGTGAAACAGATCGAAAGTTGGCGGCTGCGATTGACGATGATGCAATTCGAAACTCCCTCTTGTCCGAGCATCTCCCGCCGGCGCCACCCCGCCTCGCTTCGGCTCGGGGCGCGTATGCAGGTGTTGCGCGCTGAGCCGCACCGGGGACACAACCAATGACAGACACGACCAGCTCGCGGAAACTGCAGGCGTAGATATATCGATCCTCAGCGGGACGCGTACTGTGTCGCTGTGCCGCCCCCTCTCGCGGCTACATGGTAGTATTTAACAAGCAGCAGCTTCATCCTTTATCCTCATCCTCCATCCTCACCAAAGACACCACACCATGTCTAGCACCAAAGAGCTGCTCATCCAAGACCGCCCCATGGACTTCTTCGACATGTCCAGGCTCCGGGACAGACTCGACGTACATACACCCGCTCGCACGCCCACCCAAGTCCCAACCAAACCCCTCTAACATACACATGCACAGGACATGGACCACGACATCAAAGCCACCCTCAGCATCAAAGACGGCCTCGACGAGCGCGTCACAGACCTGCAGGGCCAGGTCTCCATCCTCAGCGCCTCCAAAGCCTCGCTCACGTCCGAAAACGCCGCCCTCCAGGCGTGCAACACCACCCTCACCTCCGAGCACTCCGCCCTGCTCACCTCGCGCACAACGCTCCGTCTCGAAATCACGCGCCTCAACGACCACGCCACCCACCTGCGCTCCGACTGCGCCCATCTGGCCGAGGACAAGCGCGTCTTGACAGAAGACAAACACCGCCTCACCACCACCACCACCGACACACTAACGCCGCGCCTCAACCATCTGCGCAACAAGCTCGCCCTCCTAACCGACGAGCAGAAAACGCTCGAGCGGGACAACCGCAGCCTACGCAAAGAGGGCGACAGCCTGGCGGAGCGGATCGACCGGCTCGCGGAGCGGGAGGACGAGCTAGACGCGCGGTGTCGGCGGCTGGAGGAGAAGGGGCTCGGGCTGGCGGTTTGCTGCGCTGTGGGTGTGAGTGCTTGCCTATCTGCTTGATTGACTCACTGCTTGGGGGATGGAGGGGTTGTAAGTGTGGTGTGCTAATTCGTGCACAGGATTGGGGCTCGAGGCTTGCGTTGCCGGAGCCGGATTGAGTGGTGCGGCGTGCTGAGATTGAGCTTGAATGATTTGGGCGAGGGCGTGGGGACTGACGGCGTTTGGGGTTTATGTTTATATAGTGGGAGGAAGGGTCGGGATTGAAGAATGCGCCATCTTCTCAATTTTACCTTTTTGCTCTAAACCCCATGCTTTTGCCTATGCATCCAAGTCGAGCTTGCGACAGCGTGCATTCGCCGCGTTGATGCTGTCGCGTACCCATCAGTTGACGACGCGATGATGTGTCGTGCGCGACAGCCCTCAGCTGCAGCAGCTCGTTTTCGCCAACCAATCGATCCCCAGGCGATCGACGGATGGTAAGACGGGCAAGGATGCAGCCGCCAGTCCGACATTGACACAACCCGGCTCCCATCCGAGCTCAAACAATCAAAAGCAAAACCAGCTCGAGCAGACAAACGTCGCATCTCGCATCCGGCACGTCACGGCGACACGACCACCCCAAACGCTCCGCACCACGTCTCACGAGGCAAGAGACGAGGCGATCCAATCGCACCCCAGGCGCATCCAGCCACCTCACCGGTCTGCGCATCCAGATGCAGCTTCGTTAAGAACCCGTACGCCGGGATCCCGTCACTGCCGTCGCGAATCCAGCGACAACCAGCCACGAGGATGAGGCGGTTAGGCGCGGGGCTCGGCCAATCAGCGCGCGCGAGCAAAACGCTTCCTGGTCGCCGCTGTGCGCGCGCTCTGGCTGGCATGGACGGCTGCCACGTTTGAGGCCTGGGTGTGCGGGGTGTAGAAAAGCGGCGGTGTCCTCGTCGCCATGTCGGGCTGCTGCTCTGGATCTGCTGTGCAAGCGAGACGCCATGGCAGAAAACGCGGTTGCGGAGCTGCCCCAGCTGTGCAAGCTGAGAGAGGCGCTCGAGGTATGTATGCGTTGGATTCGCGGGGACGGTTGTCATCTGACGATCTGAATAGGACGCCTACACGGAAGTCGGCGGGTATCTCGGAGCCCAGCGCTCCGCCTTCATGGACTCCATCGCATCGTTGGAATCGGAAAAGGCCGCTCTCCGGACGGAATTCGACCAGCTGAAAGCGGCAAAGGAAGCCGTTGAGACCGAGAGGCAGAGCCTGCTGGAGGAGTACGTCTCTCTGAGAGCGAGCAAGGAGTCCCTCGAAGCCCGGGTCCTGGGCCTGCAGGATGCCAACGCCAAACTCGTGGCAGAGAACAAGCTGCTGGATATAATAGCAAGTGTCCTCGACCGGCAACCAGTCCCTCCCACTTATCTCCTAACACCCACCCAGGACAAGGATCCCTTTGCCCTCGTTCTCATCGACGGCAACAGCGTCCCGGTACCCACACCAACCTCTTCCTCATTTGTACGTAGACACTAACTCCCAGCCCCACAGATCCGTGCTACCGACGCCCCGAAGAAGTTCTACGGCGGGCTCCTCGCCGCCACCGTCCTCGTCAACGCCATGCACGCCCTCCAACCCGGCTGCAAAATATACGTGCGTGTGTGGGCGGACCTCGCATCTTTGGCGGCCGCCAGCGGAGACAGCTTTACAGAGGAGGAAGCGCGGGAGTTTGCGCGCGGCTTCACGGCGTTTGCGCACTGCGACTTCGTGGACGTGGGAAACGGAACGGGGCGCGCGGGCGCAAAGGTCAGAGGTACCTATCCGCTGGCGATACTATGCGACGCGCTACCGTGCGATAATCCCTCGCTGGGCGCGTGTGGCGGTTGTGGTGGTGGAGTTGCGTCGTTGTGCCATTATGTGCGGTGCTAACGCGCAGCGAGCAGAGGCTTTCGAAGCCAACGTCGGGAACCTGCACTGCAAGCAGATCTTCGTCGCGGACGCAAAGGACGGCTCGGCGTGCTTCCTCGAGCGGTATCGCTTCGGGCGCGAGAAGGAGAAGATCTCGTTGCTAGGACCCGGGGAGCTGGAGCCGGGGCGCGAGGAGCTGGGCGAGGACTTTGGGCGGGTGAGGTGCGACGAGGTGTTTGTTTAGCGTAGAGAGAGCGTGATGGCGGGCGTGGAAATGGACGGGCTGTGGTAATTGTCGCCGTAGGAAGGTAGTTGTTAGTGTAGAGATGAAAATGCTGTGGAGATTCGATGCTTCTGTCGCTAATGTCTTGGCGTGTTTATGTATCTACCCCGCTTACCCCGCACTGCGCCCGTGCTCGCATCTCTACGGCAACTGCGTCCACTCTCTTCCGATGTCATCAACGCTGTCTCCGTCAAGCGAAATTTGGTGACTGTCCTTCCTCACTATACTTAAGAGGTATACATGTTCGTAAGAACTGTTGGCGCCGGGAGGCGTTGGATGCAGTACTAGTAGTCTATTGGAACTACCTTCTGGTAAGAAAGCACCCACAAAGTGCCGCGCGGCTTCTGGAACCTGAATCTGCCGTTGTTGACGCCGGTGTTGCGGAATTGATATAATATTTGGCTCAGTGATATGAGTGATATTAAATGGAAATACTTTTTTATACTGTGGATAGAACAAAGTGATGGTAAAGAGAGCGGGGTTATTCAATGACGAGAATTTGTGGTTTCGTCTTTGCAATGCGTTTCTGGATCTGAGAATTGGGATCAGCTTCGCTACTGGACCCCACGCGCTTATACAGTCCGTTTCCCGTTTGACGCAATATTATCCCCTTAATATAGTCTTCACTATATTCGTTGTCCCTGGTCAGTGGTAAAAAGGCATACTGCGTCCTAGGACTAAGGTCAAGCTCGCCGGTGCCTTCTTTGACAAAGATCCGAAATGTGATTTCATGAGTAGGATCCGGATAATAGACAAAATAGTAGTTTTTAAATCCGTATAATTCTCCGCACCCTCCCAATTGCAGCATTAAGAGCCGTCCAATACAGACAATGTATGGCCAGAAATCCTTGGGGCTCCCCTCTGGAGCAAGCTGTTGACAATCGTCGGACAAAAAGGGGTATGCCAACGGTATATGCTTACATCCGTGGTATCTGGTATGGTATATTCCGTCTGGGTGATGCTCTTGATACGCCCAATGCCATGTTGGTGCTCGATGTTGGGAGCCTCGAGAGGTGACTTTGGCTTCAGATGACCATACCAAGGCGTAAGGAAGCGTTCCACCAAGAATACCGTGCGCATAGATATTACGTGCGAGCCTAGATATACGCATCCCAATACCTTCAATTGCTTTGAAGATGTCTTTATCCGGATAACTCAGTTTTGCTCGGGTATAAGTGTTCAGTATGTGGAACCATTCATCTTTGAGGTCGATTGTTTTCCGGTGGCCCAAATCGCTGCGGGTCCTAGATTCCTTGTAACTCTTTTCGGGTGGTATCTGAGTACTGTTCGGGAGCGACCAGAAAGGTAGGAGTTTTGCCGCCTCTTGAACGGAGCAAGGTCCTTGTCCGGGAAAATCTTCACAAATGGCCATCTCCCCACAATACCAAAGAATCTTTTTGTCTGTGAAGGACAGCATCCTCGGACTCAAGATCATTTCTTGAGTAACCCAGCCTCGATTTAGCAGCGTACTCTCGCTTAGGACCTTAGATGCTTTGCGGATCACGCGATGATGTAGTTCGTCTACAATATTATCCTTTGCCATAACGTAACGACTCACAACGGATGTTCCCATTGGCCGCCATGTAATGAACATGGAATCTTCGTTGTGCAGTTTTCTATGGTGGAAAAGCCCGCCATATGGACTGCTCGCATGCGCCGACCCAATGTTCAAGCAACTATTAGAATATACCTCCTGCATCTGGCCAGCTTCCTGGATCCAGTCATCTTGGGCGGCTTTGTCAACTCCCTGTAGGATGCAATAGCTGTCAATCCAGAGATAGCGTATTCCAAGAGCGCGGATAGTTGTAATAGTCTCTCGAAAACTACGAGGTAGTTTTTCCGACGGTGTTCCAGCCAGGAAATCAGATAAGGAGTTGGTGCTGAGTACAGGGAATTCTTGGGTTCCCCAACAATGGCTCAAAGTAGCATAAGGTCCTGCAATCACAGGCTCGTCTTTGGTAATTATGAGCTTTATCGGCTCATCAGCAACGTCCAGTAGTCGAGTTGGGTACCACTCTGGGTCAAGAGTTCGCTCGCAGCAGCGATGCTCCTTCATGCATTTTTCTAACCAGTGTTGCGCGAGAGTAATAGCATGATCATTGCCAGTCCATAGTTCCGATTTAGAACTACAGGCAAGCTCAAAACAGGGAGTCCACGATTCAATGTTTTCAATGAGGAAGCTGGGTTTGTGGCCGTCGAACATCAGTTTAAAATTGTTTTTTTCCGTTCGTATTATGTCGTAAGAATTTGGGTTGAACAGTTGCTCCTCCGATTTGTTTTCTTTTTTTTGATGATCAACGATCTTGGTGCATATCCAGCAGCCTTGGGTAACTGCTTCTCGATAGCTGTCTTCGGGGGGATGGTGCCTCCGCCAACTGTCATAGTCAGAGTTATAATGGAAGATTCCTCCTTTAAACCAGTACTTCAACGAGTCGATGGAATAATCAGCAAAGATGGATTGGCAGGCAGTACAGAGTGTCGGTGGCGAGAAATCAGACAACATGTCTCGTTAAAGTAGAGAAGAATGTATCCCCCGTGTTCGACTGTTCTGTAGGATGCGGATGGAGAATGGAGTCAGAGGCTTGTGTCATCCATGCAGAGATCTTATGCCAAACTACAGCACCGGCATAGGCGGCAATTTCGGGTATTGAACTTCTCGTGTTCGCATGTATTATGACGTGTCCGCTGCTGCACAGCTACGAATCCGTACCATATATCTAGAAACTACTGGGCAGTAATGCACATATGACTGATATAAAGCCTGGATTGCGTCATTAAAAAGTATGTAATGACCCCGTAAAACCGACTTTGAAAGCCCTTTACCGTCTCTTCTACTACGACACTACTATACAGCCCTACTGGATTTCTTTCAGATCCGTTTACGTAAAGCTAGTATAGTAACTAGTTACTTTAGGAAAGTTATACTAGGGATATATCCATTAGGCTGCGCTTTCGCCTATTAAATAACATTTACCGTAGCAGTCTTTCTTACATCCCCACAGCGCCATTTGGACCCTATGGGACTAATAATGCAAGATACGGGGCATATTAGCTGACGTTAGCGGGGTCGAACAGCTAAATTTGTATCCAAACCCTTCTTTTCCTTCTCACCCCCACGTTACTTGCTCTTTCACTTTCACAACAATGTCTGTCAACCATCTGTTTCCGGTCGTCTGCACCGCGGACCTGCCCAGTACTGTATGCTCCCTTAACCCTCACTTACACCTAGAACTAACAAATCAGGTGGTAGATGCATTCCTCACTCGCGCGCTTAACGGCTCGGAAGCCCTTGTTCCGAACACCGAGCCCTGCCTGGTCGTGTTAACTAGCCCCGCCAACAGCCCGAACTCTGCGCCAACGCACCCTTCTCGCACACCAACCCAGCCTTTCACATCGCCATTCAATGACCAATCTCCCACACAGATAGCCGAATATGTTGGTGGCGCGGGTTTCTTTGCTGTGTTGGACGCGCGATCGGCGGAGGGCGAAACGGCGTTATTAGTTCAAGTGCAACGCGATGGAAGAGAAGAAACCAAGGTCGATGTTCTGCGAATCACGTTTGATGCGGCACAACACGTGCTACAGGCGCTGGATGTCGCGAGTTTAGGCTTTGAGGAGCTGATGATCAACGCGGAGGATCAGGGTGGGGTTTATGGGAGGCCGCCTCAAAGGAAAAGTCCACTGAAGGGTGGGCCAGCGCCACGGAAGAAGTTAGGTGGGTGAAAACGGGCCGAGATTCAGAAGCTGTTTTCGTGAAAACCTATCGCGCTCAACTACCTAATCCTCAATCCATTTTGCCATAAGCCTTTGAATGATCTCCTCCGCCTCCTTCTTGTCAATCTCGATTTCCTCAATGGGATCGGTCTGCAAAAGACTGGATTCGTCCCTTGCATGGGCGTCATCCGGCGTTCTTGAACCGTCCGTATTTTCCTCGGTAGAAACGTCGAGCGGTTCCCGTCTCTTTAACTTTCCTGATTGGTTGTGGCTCGCACCAAAAGATGTACCCGGCGCACCTGTATCAGCTGTACCTTCTTTGGTAGAATTTATAATTGATTCTCGTCTCCTTAGTGTTCCGGAGGCTGCGGATGAGTTTTCGGTGGCGGTGTCGGTTCTTTGTTGTACAGCTTTAGGCGTACGATGCATTCTTCGTCGTATCCAAGTTTTCATAGCTCTAAGATGGCAGGTACGCTCCAATGTTAGGTTTCGGTGGCCTATAGCGTTGATTGTGGATTTAGGTGCAGCGGTACTAAAACCACTCCCATACTATGGTATTTAGTAACAAATCAGCTTTGTTATGACCGCTGTGTCTTGACTTACGTGTTTTTGTTTCTCTGTAATCCACATCAATGTTTGCAGAGTCAGTGCTCCAAAGTTGAAAGCTTGCCCGTCATCGCAAAAATTGGCCATGACCAGTTCGCCGCCAACCGATTGAAGATGCCGTAGTAGAATCGGACGTTGGACATTGTTGAGGTTGGAAAGAAACTCAAGTGTACCAGCCGCATTAAGTTCCTTTTGTAGCTTCATATATTCCAAGATCTCCTCTTGCTGAAGCTCAACCGGGTGGATACTGCAGCGGATATCTGGTGGATCAGTGTCTACGTTTACATCCATCATCCAAGCTTCCAAGCATCTTTGCTGTGCGTAAGGCTGTAAAACCGAAGTGGTGCTGCTTTCCGTAATATCCGAAAGCCAGTTGTCGACGCCTCGGTGGAATTCACCTGGCTTCACGTATCTCCGGGTGCTCTGCTTGGTGGAAGTTCCTTCCGTAGAGATTATCCTTACGCTCGCAACCTGACTATCTTCCCTAGCACTTTCCCCAGTATATGGAGCAGAGACGTGTGTTTTGAAGGGCTTGGCGACATGTGAGGATGGGACCTCTTTGTGGTCCGTTTTGACAAGAGCCGTGCTCAAATGGTCTGCCAGCCCCAATAACGAATTAGTAAATAAAACTTCTATTTAATAACACCTCTTAAGCATATCTACCTGGAGATCTTAGTTGCTGTGCTTGGGTGTTGCGTGGACCGGAGCTTCCTGGAAATACATTATTTCCCGTCAAGTCAATTTGTTCATTCAGCCGCATGATCGATGTTATTAATTGTATGCGCTCTTGACTTTTCCTGTCTAGCAATTCTAGTGTAGCTGGCTCTGGACCCATTCGTTGCAGCTGAGCCAGGTTGAGTGCGAGAAGAAATGTAAGCTTTGAGTTTTGTATGTCCATTCGGAGTTTCAAAATGTTGCTTTCCTTGTAGAAATAGCCTGTACTCTCTTTTAAAGACAACATGATTTTTCCGGCTGTAGAACCTCTAAGCTGTAGATTTTTGTTTGGTTTTCCAACCTCATTTTGTACAGTTCCGAAAATGTTGCTACAGTTGGCGAGTGCCTTCTCGATCAAATATGAATTAAGTCGACTACCACCGGAAATGAGAATATCTCTGAGTTGCTCCCTTTGATAAAGAACATGTAAGAAGATTCCAGCACTGAATGGATGCCTTCTCGATGTACAACTTACAAAATGGCGCACAAAGCCAGGATGTCATTATGAGCTGTCTCAAGGTCTCTTGGCGCGCCTCTGGCAACCTGAATGAAGTTGAACAAGCCAGCAGAAACTTGGATGCCGAGGCTGATGACACCAAACACATTACCAGCCACGTCGAATTCTGACATGATGAGTCGGGAAATTTTTGTTGAGTTGAGTTTGTGAAAGTGAGTGAAGATAGTAGAGTGTTTGTGAAGGTCGTCGCATTACCCCACCTACGTGTCTAAAAATAACCGATGTCCAGTAACTACGTGTATCCACAGGAAGCACCACACTATGTGTACGAAGGTGATTGAGTGGCGTGGAATCATAGTCGCAAGCCTGATATTTTTGTAGGTATCACTTTCGGAAGTTATCGGCGATGTCTTCAAAGTCAAACGCAGCATCGATGCTGCCGTCTTCCTTCCATGCCTTCACTCTCTCACCAAACTGTCAGATAACTCCATCTGCGCGAAGTCAGTATTATAGGGTTGCTCCGAAAAGCAATATTAGTTGGTTGAGTGTCGACAGTCGTAGCGCAGTGACCGACTTCGGGACAATTTTCGTACCCCACAACACCGACCCGGCGCACATAATTGCTGCGATGCACGTGTGTTTGCCTTATCGATTGTGGCAAAAGCACACTTTCTTGGAGCTTGCTTGGCACAGTTTAAGATAGACTGGCTTCCAGAACGGAGAATGTTGAGTTTTCTTCTCATCGACGGGACATTCTGCAACCCAAAAATCGTCCCATTATATTCAACTCTCCTCAGGCATCTCTCTCTAGGTTCGCGTCGTAATGAAAGGTACCTAACGCTCATCGGATCCTGCAGATTCTAAAACAGGCTTGATCTACAACGGCTAAGGCGTGCTGGGCGAATTTACGGGGCGTTGTGGGGCCGGAGTGCCTGTGCGGTCCTGTCTGATTCCGGAACGGGAAACGTACCCAATAACCAAACATGATAGGTGAGGATTTAGCATTCGTTATAACTGTGACTACCGTGCGGGGCTGTGTAGAGCTGCGCATGACTAAGGTTGCGGAGCTGAACCCTAGAATGGTAGCGGTACTAGCCTCTTACGTTCTTCTACACGATAGGACAAGACGACTTTTGAATTGGGAAATAATAAAATATCTTGGAAACAGGTTCCCCTGTCCTTATCCAACTAGTTGTATTTCTACTGTAAGTCCATCTTAACTTGAATAGTTATCTCCGCGTGGATATTAGATAAGGCTGAAGTAAGAATTGTTAGTGCTGGGGAGCGGTGTAAGCTAAGCGATGACATATTAACTGTGTTGCTAATTCTAAGATGTAGGTATTCTGGGGCAAAACGAATGGAAACGTTAATTTTAGTAAAAGTAATGGTTCACTATAGGGTAGGATTATACGGATGGAATACGAATTTCAGCTATGCAAAAGGTATAAAAGCAACAACCGTCTTCTCTACAAGTCTCCATCAACAAGCCACAACCAGAACAACAACCGCATCAAAACAACACACACACAAATCATCTCTATTCCCCGAATCACAATAACCAACATGCTCTTCAAGCCCGCCGCCCTCGCCACCGCTCTTCTGGCTTTCACAGCCATTGCGGCCCCTGAAGGCATCAACGCGGAGAAGCGCCAAGGTACTTCCAACCCCTACCACCATTATTCCCAGGGAAAGGTTGCTAACAAGTCATTTCGCCTCATCTAGACTTGACGACTGAATCCAAAAGTAGCATCAGTTGCAAAACGCAGAACGAGCTCGCGGGTGCTTGCCAGAAATACTGCGGCTGCAGGGGCAAGGGCACCGATCATAAGGCTTTGTGGTGCGATGAGAACGTGGTTAAAAAGGCGGCTTGCGAGGATAACGACTGTATTTGCAAATAGGGTGGATTGGTAGTGGAGGTGGAGGAGTAGGAGGTAGCGTGCGCTATGGAGGTTTGGTTACTGGCTGTGTGTGGTTTTTTGCGGCTTTGTACAGCTCTTTCACTCGTTTTAGTTCTGTTATTTGTTTGGGGAATAGAAGAAGCTTCGTATACTATACGAAAAATTGAAAGCCAATTAGCTTAGTAGCCTTTGTTTGTGTATATATCCATCGCATTGTTAGAGGATTTGGTAGTGCTGTGTTCGCTGCGACTTACACCAGCAGCTGCGCTGCCAGAGCTTCGCGCCCTCACGCAAATAACGATTTGATGCCAACGACCTACGTACCAGTATTAGCTAAGTTGCATGGATATGCTGATACAGAGACCGAGAAAGCCAGGTCTGGAAGGACGGCGGTATAAGGTCTCAGTAAACCAGCATCAGATTATTCCTTCCATGTTTTTACTCGCGATACGACAAGAGAAAATGGATGAAGGAAGCTTATTTAGAGCGTAAAGCAGCTAGAACTAAGAGAAATTATTGCTTTTTGTAAATGCTATCTTGCACGTCTGTATTCTGTTGCTAACTTACGATTTGCATTAACTCGACATGAAGATGCAGAAACAATCCACTAAGTAATTATTTCTCACCGGCCTGAAACTGGTAATCCATCCGAAGCACTGAGTAGCCGCCTCGAGCGAAAGGAAGCAATTACCGATAATTGCTATTGGTCTACTTACCCGCTGTAAGCTCTTTTAACCTTAGCTTTTTGCTGGAGTTTTATTGCATGATGAGATGGATGATCCATAAACAGTCTACGACGAGTGCTGATGACGCCACAGTATTGAGATGTCGGCTGATTTGCCGGTTGTACGGCTGTTTATCCTAGACGACGTCCGTATTATCCATGTGATAAAAGCGTAAAACTAGACTTGCACAGGTATCACATAAGCGCTAACGAAACTTGGAAATAGGTGTGCTTACTCCTTGGAATCCTTCGCGTACTTGTGGAGCTAGTATTTTCGTATCTGCTTAGCCATCTCATGTTAAAATAGAATTCATGTCAAATCCAGGAACTGGTGGGGAGACCATATTCAGTTATAAAAGTGTGCGGTGCAGGTGTGTAAGTAGACAAACAAACACCACAGCCTTCTCTACTCTTTACTTCTCTTTACAACAGTCTTCCAAGATGCGTTCCGGCAAAATCCTCAGCGCCTGCGCCATCTTTGCGTCCTCCGGCGTCCTTGCACAGGAATACCTTAAAGTAACCAACACCTTCGTTACCACTGCCCCGAGGCCGCCAGCGAGTGTGGATATTGAAGTCAGGGCGTATGATCCATCCACCGAGACCGAGAGTGATATCGCTACTTGCTCGAAGTTTTGGTACACGGATGTGTCTGGCTGGCCGCAAGAATTCGTACGTACCGTAACATGCAGACACGACATTATGGACTTGACAACTGACTCGAACGTCCAGGTCGCCTGCGACAAACCGGCCTGGAACTGGTACATCTCGACCTATACCAGGCCGCACATCTTCGACGTTGAGCTCTCTCATTCGTTCGACGATTCCGTGCCTGCGGAAGAGGGGTACGTGTCGCCCTTGCATACTTTAAAATATTTTGCTAACAGATTTGTCCACCATAGCTTAAAGTGGCATCGGGAAAGATTCGGTCGCTTTTCCGTGGCCGAAAACGACTTCACATGCAACCCGGTTCATTCCGGTCAAGTTGAAACTTGTCGTACGGGTCCGAGAGACGTTGTGGTCTATAATGAGACGTACACGAATGGGAACGGTACAGTGTTCTGGCGCGTACCTGAATAAGGGGTTCAGAATGAAGGATGCCCGGTTCAGCTTCTGCTCAGCCAGGGCATGTACGTACAAACTGGACCGAACTGTGTTTGCATTTTTCGCAGTGTCACGAAAGTAAATCGAGTTTTAGTTGTCACGATTTGATCCAATGCAATGTCATCACCATTTGAATACCCGGAGCGAAAGAGCACACCACGTAAGCACTTTCTCACTAAAAAGCAAGACCTGGCATTATTATCAATCAAACCAGATATCTTTTCTAGCTCTAGCTTCTCATTCAGTAAGAAACTTTTTGTACTACTAAAAATAATCCTGCTAATCTGGCGACGCGTAACCTTCCCTACTGAGATGATAAGCCACGTAGGTAGACCTTCCGCTCGCATTCCGACTTAGATGCGCCCCAGCCGGTTTAGCGTCGGAATTGAAGAAGCCGACGCTTTTATTCCCGTCTTACATCCATCTCTTATTCGCCCTCAGCCTCCAACAAACTAGTGACAAAGAGCAACATGACTGAACGCAATATGGCCAGCATAGCGCAGCTCGAGGCTTGCACCGACGAGCTCGCCGCCGCGGTAAAAAGCCTCTCGATACACACCAGCAGAGTCCCGAACACTCGCTTGTCTCTTCGGAAACTCCGGGCGATGTGCGGCGGTCCATTCTCGCCAGCATATTCAACATCCAGAAGCTGCTTGCCGAGCCAACAGACTTCCTCGGCCAGCTTGCCAGCCAGGTATGCTTCCACTCGAGAACATCGAAACTGAACTGACGTGGTGGGCGCAGACTCAGCTGCTAGCTTGCTTGCAATGGCTGGGAGAATTCCAGGTGCTCGCGTGCATCCCCCTCAGCGGCAGCGTATCTCTCAAGGACGTTTCCGACTTGGCAGGCGTCCCCGAAGCGCACCTGGGCCGGGTGGTGCGGATGATGGCGACGGCCGAGTTCCTCTGCGAGCCGGAGCCCGGCTACGTCGCCCACAGCGCCTTGTCGGCACCCTTCGTCGCCCAGCCGTCCTATCTCGACGCCGCCATGTTCCTGGCAGACACGGCGGCGCCCGCGGCGTTCGGGATGACGGCAGCCACTCAACGCTTCGGAAACTCTCGGCTGTCTCACAAGAGTGCTTACAACGTCGCCTTTGACACGCCCACACCTTTTGGCAGCGAGTTTCAGCGGCGTCCGAAACTTCAACGCCAATGGCCGGCTTACCTCCGCTACGGGACGGGTGAAGTGGGCGATAGCGTCGGTGACGTTCTGACGTGCCTGGATTCGCTCCAACTAGAGAATAATTCATCGGTAGTCGAAGTGAGTCTGTCTCATCGGTCCCGAGCCCCTCCCGAGCCCCGACTAACAGTGGTAAATTCAGGTAGGAGCGACTTCGGCCGAAATAGCTACGACCCTTGCCTATCTCTACCCGGCATTTCGTTTTGTTGTCCAGATGAGCAGTCACGGCATACCGGCTTCTCAGCCCCATCCCCGAGTCGCGATTCAAAAACGAGCCCCAGGCGCGCAGCAGGAGGTCCGCGATGCAACCGTCTACATTCTGCACCCGCCCCTGCCTTCCCCTGCCGTGCCGTCAGAATCCCTCGCCGCGCAGTTTATCACTGATCTGCGGGTGCACATGGACGTGCTCTGCGAGAACACCTCGGCGACGCTTATTCTGTGCACCAACCTACTCCCGGAACCCGGGACCGTAGGTCTGCAAGAGGAAACGATGGCGCGGGTGCGCGATCTTTCACTGATGCAGTTGGCTAATGGACGTTGGTTCGATGCAGCCGAGCTGATGGAAATGCTGGATGGCGTGGGGGATAGTAAAGGGAAGCTGGTTCTGGTGAAGAAGACGCAATCGCGCAACAGCAGTGTGCTTATTCTGGAGGTGCGGTATCGGCCGTACTCTGAGCGGTAGGAGCTAATGGCAGTGTCATTTACTTTTGTGAAGCTGGGCGCGAGGAATTGGACGCCGCTTGTCCTTCTAGATTACTGCTACCTATGGAGGTATATATGCTGCTATCTAAAAGAACACGTTTCTTGTTGAGATCCTTAATTCCTTGCAGTAGAAGAACGTGTGGTGTAAGGGAGTCAGTTTATTG